CTCAACCGCTCTCTTTGTGTTTCGAAGTATGTATCCGCTCCTTAGCCTATAAAGAGGTCCTCATTGGAACGTATCCCCCCCCCAACCCTAGTTATGTAATGTTGTTTTTAGTGTAAAGTTGTTACGGCTTAAATATTAAAGAGAATGCATTGTGTGCGGACTGCCATACACATAATTACGTGGACATGCTTACAAACCAAAAAACTATATTAGTTGATACATTTCTTTAGTTGGGTGATATCTTTATTTTGTTGGCTTAAATATTTTATTTTGTTGGCTTATATGTTTCATTTTGTTAGCTTATATGTTGCTTTTGTTTTTTTATTTTATCCTTTTGTTAGCTTATATGTATCTTTTGTTGGCTAATATGTTCTTTCTGTTGGCTGATATGATTTTATATGTTCATAATGTTGTCTGATATATGTTCCTTTATTTTGTTGGATGATATTTATATTTTATTGGCTGATATACATGATCGATATCACATCCAGCTATAAAGGATATCATCCGACTTATAGATGATATCGGCCAGACAATGAATGATATCATCTATACAATTAGCCATTTCATGTAGCCAATTAATCATAGTATTAATTGCAATTTGACCTCCATTATTATCTATCAAATTTATAAATGGCTAGAAAAGATTTATTCAATTTTCATTTCATACAAAATTGTCAATTTATCATACTACCTTCGGTTCAATTTACTCGCAACAAAGTACAAGTTTTCGGAAACCAAGGCAAAAGATTGAAAGCATGATTATGGAAAAATAAGGGTATATGCTTAACTATTAATCCAACCAAATAAAAAAATAAAAAAATTCAACCTTAATTAAATTAAATACCCCACCACCACCAATACCACCAAGCATCACCCAAACCACCCACCACCATCGAAACCACCCAACACCGCCGACGCACCACAACAACTCAACACCGCCGACACACCACCACCACCCAAGCACCCAGCAACCCACGAACCCGGAACCCACCGAACCCAACACCCCACAAACCCAGCAATCTGCCGACCACCACCACCACCACCCCACGCACCTAGCGACCCACGAACCCAACACCCACGAACCCGGAACCCATCGAACCCAGCAACCCGCTAACCCACCACCACCACCCCGACGCACCCAACAACCAACGAAACCAACCCACCAAACCAACAAACCTACTGATACTTTCAATTTATATAGTGTTTTACCCCGTCCCGTGGTCATAATTAGTAGTGTTTTTGGCTCTTTCGAGCCACTTTTATTACTAATTTGTGTTTTCTAGTGTTTTTGTAGTTTTTCTTGAGTTTTGTAGGAAATTGCACATTTGGAGCATTTTTCGGGTTTTTTCACGAAGCAACAACGAGCATTAGGAGGACACGACCGTTTTTGAAGCCCAGGACCGGTTAGAACCGGTCATTAAGGGCTCGGTATGTGATACCGGGGCATATGGATCGAGTATTCAAGACCCGAAGAGGAAATTCAGATTGGGCTGAAGAATCGAGCCCAATCGAAGTCCACGCCTCGAAGAAGAAGCCGAGCCCGATCGGGCGGGTGCGCACAAAGAAGCAGCACCAAGAAGGTGCGCCCGATCGGGTGAGCGTAGGCTCGATCGGGCGCGGTGCGCCAAGAAGAGCGAAGAAAAAAAGGCGGGCCCGATCGGGCGGCCCTTCGCCCGATTAGGCGCGTGTTTTTTAGGGGACCTGATTAGTTTTCAACTAGGATTTGATTTAGGGATGTTTAATTATGATTTTTGTACGTTATTTTAATTACCTTCTCTTTTTAGATTTTCTCTCTCTACTTAGAATATTTTCTCTCTCTTAAACTCTTTCAACTTTGTTCTTAACTCCATTCCTTAATCCAGATTTCTGTTGGTAACAATTTCTTCTCTTTTAACTTGAGTTATTTTATTTAATTCTTTCATTATGTCTTGTTTTATTGATTTGTTTAGTTTAGATTTAGTTATGCTTGAGTAGTTTTATTTCTAGGGTTTATGGGGATCTAATAAATAAGATGAAGGGGTAATTTGTGATTGTTTATTATCAATGCTAGCTTGATTAATTTCCTATTGATTGATTTAATGCTATGCAATTAGGTTTGGCCAGATTTAATTGTATGAGTTTAGCAATATTAATTCGAGATTCGACAGATGAGAATTGATGTTTAGGCTTAGTTTCAATAGGCGGACTAATTTATAAATGGTTAAGTCAAGATTCAACAGATCAGATTTAATACCGGTAAATTAACTCTGTGATTATAATACGTAGCGAAGGCCCTTTATAATCTGATTAATTGATGCTTGATGATTGCTTATTATGATTTGCCCTGGAATATTGTTTATTAGTGAACCTATGCCATAGGTTTCCCTTCATTGATTTATACCCTTTTTATTCCCTTCCTACTCTTAATTTTAGTATTTAATTACCTTTTTACAATAAATTCTTACTTGATAATTTAGATTGCATTTAATAAATTAGGAGTAAATTGACTTGTTTCCATGTGGTTCGACCCTTCTTCCCTATCTAAATAGTTAGTGGATTTAGGTTTATTTTTTATTAGGTGAATACGACTTGAGCCTGTCACCTACCCAAGAAACTAACCCCCAAAACCCGCCGATCTGAAACCACGAAACCCGATCCACGAATCAAACCTATGAAACCAAACCACGACGTCGCTGATCTGCAACCCTTGCCGCTCTTAACACCACGAAGCCACCATGAAAATGGGGTTGGAGGAGGAGAGAGAAAATTAAAGGGGATTTGGGTTTAATTAATTAAGATTGAGTTTAATCTAATGAAATCAGATTTGTAGTTTAATAAGGTTGTTTAAAAAAAGGTAAGGGTATATTGGTCAGTTACCACCCAAAAACATACGAAAAAAGGAAAGAAACAAGTTTGTTGCGAGTAAATTGAACCACCCAAAAAAGGAAATTGTTGCGAGTAAATTGAACCAGAGGTAGTATTTCAAATAGTCCAACCATTCAACAACTAAATCATTTAGAAAAGAAAAAAAAATCGAAATTAGCCACATATCTTGAAAATAATTATGAATTAAATCAATTCTTAAAAAAAAGTCACCATTTGTTGAGGTTGCATTCGTTCAAATAATGATATATTTTCAAAGAAATTGGTGATGCTTTTGCGGCTGCTTCGGAACTCCGTCTTTGGCACCCGTATCGGTACTACGTCTTTGAAACTAACATTTGTTACCGGAGAAATCGAAATCGGAGCATTGTAGGAAGAGAAAGAGAGAGAAAATGGAGGGTTTGGAAATGAAGTAGAGTAAAAAGGAGGATAGAAGAGGAGAGAGAAATAGATTGGAAGAAAAGGAGTGAGGTGCATCGAATTATATAACTTCATTGTTTAGCTCGCTGCACAAACAAAAATATGAAACATGAAATAAAGTTTTACCACTACATGGATTTCAATATTCACAAACTATTGGGTGCGGATTTTCAAACTATTGGGGTCGGATTTCTGCACCCAATAGTTTGTGAATATTGAAAGCCATGTAGTTGTAAGCTTTATGTAGTGGTAAACTTTATGTAGTGGTAAACTCTAATTTAATATATATATTCAGCTGTTGTCAAAAATTAAAAAAAATAATATATGCTCTTTAAATTTACTTTTATTAAATGGGTTTTCAACATATACTCTTGAGTTTTTCGTTTGTTCACCACATACCAGAGATGATCATAAATTCGGGCTAAACCAGACCTTAATGTAAATGTCATGCCCAAACCTGCCCAAAAGTGACGGGCTTGTCGGGCCAAAATGGGTTTTTTGGGTCGGGTTCGGGCTTTTAAATAAAAAATTTGTTTTTAGCTTGCCTAAAACCTCCTTATTTTCGGGCTGGATTGGGCCGGGCTAGCAAGCCGAGTCATTGTTGATCACCTCAACCATATACTCCCGAGTTTTAACAAAAATACACCATATACCCTATGTGACTAATGATTGATAACTTCGTCAGTAATTAGGGTTAATTATGACCCAAAACCATCTTAAATACATTCCTTTACCCCTTAAACCACCCACATTCCTTTTATTCACCCCAAATTTCCTTTTCTCATCCTCAAAATCAATCATACGAATATAACTATGGACTATGAAGATTTGGAGTGGTTTTAGGGGTTGGAGAAAAAGAGAGGAGTAATTTTAGGGATAGGGGAAGACTGGAAGAGATATAAGGTGGTTTCGATGCATAATTAACCAAATTTCATTTATTTTGTTGTCATTAAGGGTAAGTGGTGAATTTTTTGTATCAACTCAAGGGTATATGATGAATTTGAAAAATTTCAGAGGGTAAATGATGAATAAACAAAAAACTCAGGTGTATATGGTGAAAAAAACGTTTATTAAATTAACTTATTTTTACTAAATTGAAATTAATTTTAACGAGCTTATACTTTTTATTTACTCCGTAATATTATTTTGAATAAGGTGAAATGAACAAGTCCTAATTCTTTATAAAATTTACTAAAATCGATAGGAATAACTTGTTCTAAATTCATATATTCTCTATATTTTATCACTTGCTTTATTTTTTCCTACTTGAAATTTTTGGATGTATGGTAGAAAGTAATAAAATATGATGGAAGTGACATTGGTTGAATATATATATATATATAAATTAAAAAGGCAAAAGTAAGTAAAAAGGGAGAAGACAGATTTATTTTATTTTATTTTTACACAAGAAGATAGAATATGAAAATTAAATATGTTAAAAAAAATAAATAAAGCAAGTAATATTACGTCCGAAAAAGAAAAGAGGAGTATGAGTAAGGGCCTGTTCTCATACGTTTATTTTCAGTACAGTTCAGTTTAATTTAACTCTTAATTTGCTTCTCTTATAAAATATTCAATTCACTCCCGCCTACGACTGGACCCTAAGTAATAAAATACGTAAGCGGTAACCTAAGTTGATAAATCTAAGATGAAAAATAACCTTATTGGGCCACTTGTGTCTTGCTCACTCCCCTATAAAAACATTTAAAAAAAAAACAGTAATACAAGTATAGAAACTAGAAATCCAGTCTCATAGATCTTCAATTCAATTTTGTTTTGGTATCATTTCATTCCTCTAAAACTCTCAGCTTCTTTCCTTACCTTCTCTCTTCTGCAAGCTTGTTGTGGGACCCACAACAATCCCGCAATCTCCGATGTCTCAGCCGTCGGTAGTCACGTCGCAGTCTCCGACCACCGAACCTTCCGTCACTTCCCGGAATCCGCCACCTCTGGCTACTCCCGCATCTTCTAAGGTTTTCTTCACTTTTTCTCTCCTCAATTACAAACCCTTTTTTCATTTATTTCATCTTCTATTGCTGGGTTTTTAAGCTCCGATTTAGGGTTTTTTTTGTTGCATTTTTGTTTCAATTGTTGGCTCGGATTTCAATGTCGAGTTTTTTATTTGATTGTGCATGTTTGATCAAGGTAGGGAAATGCTTAAATCTCTTGAGATGATTATGTTTTGTTGAAATTGGTTATGAATTAAGCTACCCTTTTGCATGATTTTGTGTTCTATTGATTTCTTTTTTGATTTGGGTGCTTGTAAAATTGTGAAAATTATTGAGGGTTTTCTTTAATTTTTTTTGGGGCTAAAAAAAGCGTCTCAATGGAATCTTGGTTACCCATTTTGAAGCTAGTTGAGGATCTAAACAACTTTTGAAAAGCTATATAATTGTCGCGTCAAGAGTGGAATTAAAAGGGTTTTCGGAAGGATTTGAAGTAGTTTATTATGGCATTCTTTTCAGGCTTAATTGAATAGCTTGATATTATGGCTTTAACAAGGTTATTTTCATTATGTGAGCTGAATGTTTTCAAGTGTATGTTAAGAGTTATATCGACCGGATATATTAATTGTGTAAATGAAAGTGATTGTTTGGAATATGGAGTAACTATTATGGACCTTTATAGAGATTTGTAAATTCTATTCGTGGGACTGGGCGACTCTTGTCACTGTAAGGTACATCTGTTTATTATAAGAATTTTCCTGTGAAATCGCGAAATCATGTGGGACTGTGTTTGCTATTGAAGAATGATGTATCAATGTTACAATCCTTAAATTTCTTTACACATGCAGTGCTGCATAAGATGTGCAAAAGATGACTTACCTGGGTTTCATGTCACAGATTATCATCTTGTTGGTTCCTTGACTACAGTTATACCCTTGTGCAATTGTAGTGTTAGACCATTAGAAGCTGATGTAAGACTTATTTGGATCTATTCCTCGTGTTCCTTATGGGGATCTACAAATTCAACCTTGCTTGTGTCTGGTTTTACCACTTAGGCCTGGTTTCCATGTTAATAGTTAGAGGCATTATTTTAAGTTTAGGTGATTAGATCAGTCTTTTGTATTGTTGAATCTTATTCTCATGGAAAACTAAGTGCTATTTGCCTCTTATATTGGATTTACTTGATTGAGAATGAAGTAGTCTTGAGAAGCTTTTTGTGGAGCCAGGGAGGGAGGTAAATTTTATGAGTTTGTCTAATGGTAATTTTGTCAGTTTATGCTAGTTAAAGGTAGGATTACCTCTCGCTCAGAAGGAATATAAGTGTATTAATTTTGAACAGAAGTTTGTGCTAAGTCGCTACAAGAATGGTAGTCGCTACAAGAATGGTATTGCCTCTTTCACCTTTTAGTGATCTCAATATATAAATCAACACTTGTGGTATTTTATAACCTCTTTTGTTGTTTCTCCCCTATTCCATATAAATCTCTTATCTTGATCTTTAGGCTTTTAAGGTAGTGGAGATACTCCATAGAATCTCCAGCTAGGGAGATCAACTCTTCTGTTTTGATGGGGCTTCTCTGTATTTGACCTCGTCTATTTTATGGAATTTGGAGCACTTACCTCCTTTACCTAAAGTAAAATAAATTAACAAGAAAAATAGAGGGGGAATTATAATTCATATTTGTATCGAAGATACTTCATTATTTTAAGTCATACCAGATTGAGCTTTTGCAGTAGTCACATACTCTTCTTTATCATCACTTTATGTTGGTGGAAACTTTATAAAGGTAAGACATTTTTTTGGAGAAAGAACTCACTGTCATGTTGTAAAGCTAAGCAATGTATGTGACTAGCAAAGGAAGTTGGGTAATCAGAAAATTAATGTACTTTCATTGATTGCTTTTAACAAAAACAAATAGTACAATATGCTATTTGTAGAGTTAACGAGACAAATTAAGCTAAAGCATGAGCAAAGCTCCCATGATCACAATCATAGCTAACTAAACATATATAACAATTGGATATATTAACAAAGTAAAGGTTTCCCATTTCCCAAGATTCACTAATACCCTTTCAAGAAAATTCAGAAACTAACCAGGTTTCTAAAACCAGGACCACTTATGTTGAACTTCAACAATTTATATGAGTAGAACTTAAACTTATGGGATCTTGTTAGATTCGTCTTATAATGAATTTTTAGAACATCAAATTTTAAATATTTACCAATAGATGATCAAAGATACTTATTAATTATCACATTTGATTGTTGGTGAACATGAAAGCCAATACGGTACAACAAAAAAACTGGAGGATCTATTACTAAAAGATCAAGCTTTCAACTTTGAGTGAAAAATGAACTTTTTCTTGCTTTTTATTTATTTATAGGTCTTTAAGGTATGGATTGTTATGAGTGTACAGCTGATTGTAAATATCATTGCACAAACAAGGGGGCAAAGGTTTGACTTATATGTTGTAGGGTGGTGGTTAGCATTTTATGAGAAAGAAGAGTTCAGAATCTTTCCTTGAGTTCATGTCTGTAATTTTAAACCAGTGTGTATAACTGTACAAGTCTTAGGTTCATAATTATTGTTAGTTGCTTGAGGTGGGTCCCCTTTTCCATCCATATACTCCTTTGAATGCATGTGTGCATGGCCCAAGCAGAAACTTTTCTTAGTTGGACAAAGGCCCCCGACTCCCCTCCTATTATAGCTTGAGCTAAGTAGTGGGGAGAAGGGTAAAGGGACAGGGCCCATGGCTTAAGCATCAGTACTCACATGTGAATGTGGCCATATATATGGAATGCGAACCCCAAGCATCTTCAACATTGAAGTATTAATTGCCTTCCCATCCAGAGATACTTCAATTCAATTTAAGGATGTCTCGTCTCCAAGGTCGAGGTGAGGGGGCTACAGCAAGATGGACTTTGGCCTAACCCTTGCCACAACCAGGGGGGGGGGGGCAAAAGGGAAAGAAAAGGGTTTGGGGAGGGGGGGGGGTGGTTGTGGGTGGGGGGATCATCATATTTTTGGCTGGAGAACTCAAACCTCTTGAACTGAGCACTTATGTTGTCAGTTTGGTATTGCTGATTTGTAGGTGAAAATCAGTTGTCAAGTATGTGTGATAGCTAAATGAGGCTGCTCGTACTCTAGTTTAACTCAGCTAAAGCTCAATTTTACTATCAAATGAGGTTGGAGTGGGGTAGTAAGATATCCGAGATTACATTACCTTCTCATATACTTGTATACATTTTGTTATGCTTAAGTATTATTCAAGTAATCTCTCTCATGATGCTCTATTGCTCTGTCATTTATACTTTTTTGTAAGATCACTGTCTCCAAACCATTCACTGTCTTCAATTAATTGAATAATTAATTATACATTGCAGAAACCCCAGACAGGGACGAATACCATAGGACTTTATGCTGTGCAATGCGGTGAATGCTTTAAATGGAGACTCATATCCAACGAAGAAGAGTATGAGGTGATCAGGAGTAAATTGTTGGAGGAACCTTTCACATGCAATAAGAAGCCTGACGTCTCATGCAGTGATCCAGCTGATATTGAAAAGGATGCTACCAGGACATGGGTGATTGACAAGCCTAACATCCCAAGGACCCCAGTTGGTTTTAAGAGAAAGCTGATTCTTAGAAGGGATTTTTCTAAATTGGACGCTCATTATGTGACCCCCACTGGGAAGAAAGTTAGGTCTAGTACCGAAGTGGCAAAGTACCTAGAAGAAAATCCCGAGATAAAAGGTGTATCTGTTACTGAATTCAGCTTTACGGTACCAAAGGTGGTGGAGGAGACCATACCAAAGGATATCGAGAGGAAACCTTCTGCCAAGAAAGCTAAAGATTCAAAGCCTGCTGATACTTGAAATACCTATCAACTTATTAAGTGTTTTGTAATCCTAAATCCTGTCTGAAACCGTTTCTTTGTAGCGTACTAGTGCCTTTAAGTCTTGCTACTGATGCTTCATGCTTGTATAAGTCCATGTAAGACTACTACTAGGTAATACACTATCTAATTGACCCTCAATTTGCAATGTTAATTTGTCCAGTGGGATGTTTGTATGTTTTCTATGTCTGGCTTTGGTCCTTGTATGTTTTCTATGTCTGGCTTTGGTCCTTCAATGCCTAAAATAAAGTGTAGAAAATAACGATAGTCTAAACCTTTTAAAAAGTAAAAGATAACCCTTATAAATAGCGTTTGGACAATTATTTCCTCTAAAATGTTTATTTATTTATTTATTTTCACTCTTAGGAATAGTGTGTTGGCATTTATACCTCTAAATTTTTATGGGTGTTGTTATTCGTCGCTCTCATTTTACCGGGTAACGCTCCCTTTTTGTCTTGAAATTCCAATTTTACCCCTAATATATAAATACGGTTTTTTCCTTCCCGATCAACATTTCTCACTTTCTTACTTCTCTCTCTTACTCTCTAACTCTCTAAAACACTCTAAATTTTTTTTTTAAAAAAAAATTCAAAAATTTGTCTTCATTTTAAAAAAAAACAACAATCATCAAAAACACAAAAAAAATGGGTGATTCGAGGCGGATTAAGCTGAATTTCGGAGGGAGAAGCTTCGGCGACGGTGGTGGCAGCGACGGAGGTGGCGGCGACGGAGGCGAAGAGGTAATTTTTTTTTTAATTACGGATCCAGGAACTTTCGCCCAAAAAATCCGGAAGTTCCATGGAGGATCCGCCTGGAATTTCCGGATCCTCCATGGAACATCCGAATTTTTTGGGCGGAAGTAACATCCTTGGGTTACGGGTCGTAGGCAATATGGTGACCACTACTCCTAGCACGGACGTGTTACGGGACGCGTGCTCGATCACCATGGATATGACTCTAGATGATCTGTCTGAGATTTGCGGCACAAAGACCATTTGGCAGGGTAGTGGGGTGTTGACTGATAAGATTTTTGAGTCGACATTGGCGGTTGACCGGGAGTTTAGTGATCAGCTTGATGGATACTTGTGGTTAGTGCTTGGAGGTATACTGTTTGTAGACAAGAGTGGTAACCGTACGCATCCTTCCTTCCTCAACGAGCTATGTTACGTGGATGTCCCTATTAACGAGTATGCTTGGGGAACAGCTGCACTGGCCTACTTGTATCGGCAACTGGGCACGGCATCACGAAAAGGTGCTGATTCGATTGCTGGTTGTCTCACGCTTCTGCAAGCGTGGATTTACGAGTACTTTCCGTGCTTTCGGCCACAGCAGGGTACCTTGACCCGGGACCTTCAAATGCCTCGTGCGTCTGCTTGGGATGTTGGAGCGGGATGTCCTAGCAAGAACCTGGAGCGCCTGTTAGCTTTTCGTACTAGAATTGATGCGCTTACTGACCGTGAGGTGAACTGGCTACCGTACGGAGCTGATCCTGCATTACGAGTGCCCCCCACTTTATTCATTGGCTGCATCCAGTACCGTAACATCATTGAGCTGTACATGCCTGATAGAGTGGTGCGCCAGCTTGGTTTCGTGCAAGGCATTCCCCGCGAGATCATCAGACCAGAGAAGGCCAAGAGGCCGACTCTGCTTGCTTGCTTTAATCCATAAATGGACTTCTTAAGCTTACAAACTTTCTTAGCATTGTTTTGGTCGACAAAACCTTCAGGCTGTGTCATATACACAGTTTCTTCCAAATAACCATTAAGGAAGGCGGTTTTGACGTCCATCTGCCATATTTCATAATTGTAATATGCAGCAATCGCTAGGAGGATCTGAACGGATTTAAGCATTGCGACTGGTGAAAAGGTTTCATCGTAATCAATACCATGAACTTGTCTGTAACCTTTTGCCACCAATCTAGCTTTGTAAATGAATACATTTCCATCTTTGTCGGTTTTCAACTTGAAAATCCACTTACATCCAATAGGTGTATAACCTTCGGGTAAGTCAACCAAGTCCCAGACTTGATTTTCAAACATGGAATCCATTTCAGATCTCATGGCCTCTTGCCATTTAGCAGAGTCGGTGCTTGCCATCGCTTGCTTTTAGGTTGCCGGTTCATCTCCATCCATAATCAGGATGTCCTGATTCTCGGTTAATACTAAACCAAGATATCTATCAGGTTGAGATCTCGGCCTCTGAGACCTACGTAGGGTAATGGATTGAGCATTTGCATTGTCAGTTCGACTTTGCACATTTTGATCATTTTGACCTGCGTCAACAGATGCTGTTTGAGCACCTTGACTGTCATTATGATTTTGTTGCTCATCCTCACGAACTTCGTCGAGTTCGATTTTCCTCCCACTTGTCATTTTGGAAAGGTGCTCCTTCTCCAAAAAGACACCATCGCGAGCAACAAACACTTTGTTCTCCGATTTGTTGTAGAAGTAATACCTAGGGGTGGGACTTTTCAAACCGAACCGTGAAACCGTCCGTTACCGAACCGAACCATCACGGACCGAACCGTTTATAACCCGCTAATTTTAAACCGAAAACCGAACTGAACCGTATAATGTCAAACCGAAACCGAATCGAACCAATTAATGTTAACCCGTTACGAGCCGTAAACCAATAACAAACCAAACCGTTTATAAACCGAAACCATTTGAACCGATTAATGTTAACCCGCTAACTGTTTAAACCGAACCGTTTATAAACCGAAACCGTTTAAACCGTAGGAAAAAACCGTTTAAATCGAACCATTTACAACCCGCTAACCGTTTAAAGCGAACTGTTATAACCCATTAAACCGTTTAAACCGAACTATTTTCAAACCGCAACCCGTTTAAACCGATCTGATTACAAACTATTTAAACCGAACCGTTTACAACCCGTTCCATTCAAATTGAACTATTTACAGCCTTTAACAATTTGTTAGAATTCCACGAAATATATTTGATGTTTAATGTAATTTAACAATACAATTTTTTTTACATATAATTATTGATTTAAATTTGTAAATTTTTTTGCTATTATAAAATTAAAATTATATTCTTGTATAACTAAATTAGGAGTTATAAATTAAATAAAAAAATGAAAAAATTTGGCCACCCACCCAATCCAACCACCCTCCACCCACCCACCACCGTAACCCACCCCCACCCCACCAACGTCAACCCAGACCCACCCTAACACCACCCCCGCACCCACCATAATTACCGTAACCCACCCCACCCCACCCCACCACCCACCGTAAATAAAAAAACCCAGACCCAAACCTTACCCCACCCCATCCACCACCGTCACCGTAAATAATAAAAACCCAGACCCATACCCCACCCCACCTACCACCATCACCGTAACGTACCCCACCCCACCCCCTTAACAAACCCCACCCCACCCCACCCACCACCGTCACTGTATAAAAAAAAAAAAAAAAAAAAAAAAAAAAAAAAAAAAAAAAAAAAAACAGACCCAACCCCAACCACACCCACCACCGTCACCGTAACACACCCCACCCCACCCCATACAAAAAAATCGAAAAAAAAACCCAAACCCACCGTAACTTCACCCCACCCACCCCCACGAAACCCAACATCCTCGAAACCCCCCAACTCACTCTAATTGCTCACCCACCATAAAACTCCCTCCCTCCCTCGAAAAATTCTCCCTCCCCACCCACCCGAACCCAGTCTAACCGCCACCGCACCCACCCTAACTCGGCCCCCTCCGTTGCCCACAACTTGAAAAAAAATTAAAAAGAAAAACAGAAAATAAAAAAAGGAAGAACGAAAACACCTTATATATTAATCCTGAATTTGGCCTCGAATTTGGTTTTAAAAGGCCAAATTCGATCATGAAACAACTAGATCTAGAGTTTCGTGGTCGAATTTGACCATAAAAACCGTCGTGCGTGGTGCCGGTGGACGGAGACGGAGAAACGAGATGGAAGAAAGGAGAACATAGACGGAAGAAGGGAGAAGAAGGAAGAAGAAGAAAGGAAGAAGGAAGAGGAGATGAGAGAGAAAACGAGAGAGCAGTGAGCATATTAGCAGCCATGGCTTCAAAAAATTGATAATATTACAGAAGAGGATTAAGAAAACGAGAGAGAAATCAAAAAGAGTACTAAAGAGACGATGGTAAGAGTGATCTGATTGGTGGAAAAGAAAACACACGGATCGTGAATTGGAATGTGTGCGATGATAGGCCGTTAGATGACATGCAAATCAATGGCTGATATTTAATATAAGACGGTGACACGGATCATGGGATAATGGATTTGGATAGTATGTTTTTTTTTTCATAGCTACGTACTAATAAAAACACTACTGTACTCTTAACTTTATGTAACTTATAAATTGTAAGAAACACAAATGTTTGGAAATTGGAATTGATTCAATATGACATATTTAATGTATATTAGTTATATGTATATCATTATATGTAATAAATAATAATGTATGGTACGATTGGTATCATACTATCATTGGTATGTATAGATAATCGATAAATGTATCTGATTATTAAAACTTAAAACAGTTGATGATCGATCTAATTGAATACTTCTACTTCCCCACCCGTTTTCTTTAACTTGCAAGTTGCAACATATATATGTTGCAGCCTTGTAGGCACGTAATCTTAAAAGGTGATTAGAGAGGGTAAGACAACAAAGTAATTCAGCAATATAACTTTAACACCAAAATTATGGAATAGTTACAAACAATTGTCAATTATTACTTTATTAGACTAATGGGAAATTGAATAATCGTGATTTTAATTAAACATCCAAATATAGTTCCGTAACATTAAATTATTAGTTTATTACAATATCAATTATCGATTTATCATATTCAAAGTACCAATTCATCAAATCATGGTTATGACGCGATCTATAAAACAATTAAAACAAGAAGCTGATAGCCTGATAATATTTGATAATGAAACAATAATACATTAATACCTTATAAATTTGTAATAGACTAATATTTAATAAACAACAACAAGACTATAACCAAATTTGAAACATAACACATTAACATGATATAGAATGAATGAGAATTTCTGTAATTCTATATAATCTGATATCTGAATCGATTTATCGTATTCAAAGTAGCAACTCATCAAAACATGGTCATGACATGATATCTAAAACAATCCAACAAGAAGCTGATAACCTAATAATATATATTTAATAATGAAACAATAATACATTAATACATTATAAATTTGTAATAGACTAATATGATAATATCGAATAAACAACAACAAGAGTATAACCAAACTTGAAACATAACATATTAACATGATATAGAATAATTGAATAAATGAAGATTTGTGTAATTGTATATAATCCGATGTCTGAAAATAAAGTAACGAAGTCCCAACTTTATATAAAACGAAAATAGCTAACCAGTCAAAAATCTCTTAAAACCCAATTTCTACTCGATCCATTATTTTTTTCACCAACCTATGCCGACCCGCTAATGAAATGGAAATACTAGTCCCAACTTGATATAAAACAAAACGCGCTAACTGGTCAAAACCACTTTTTAGAACTCGATTTCAACCCGATCCAATTTAACCGATTACCAAACTAACCCGAACGATTTTAGCACCAAACCGAGTATAAACCGAACCGATATGAATCGAACTAGCATTAACCCGGGTAAACCCGCCCCTGAACCGACCCATTTCAAAATAATCCGTTCATGACCCGAACCGATATGAACCCGGACCGACGTTGACCCGGTAAAACCGCCCCTGAACCGATCCGTTTCAAACCGGTCAGATCACGACCCGAACCGTTTATAAACCGAACGGGCATTGACCCGAGTAAACCCGTCCCTGAACCGACCTGTTTCAAACCGACCCGATTATTAACCGAACCGTTTAAAAACCGAACCGGCATTGACCCGAGTAAATCCGCCCCTGAAGCGACCCGTTTCTAACCGATCTGATTATGACCCGAACTGTTTATAAACCGAACCGTTTATGACCCGAACCGAATTTAAATCGTACAAAAATAAACCGAAACCGAACCGACCTGTGACTAATCAAAACCGAACTGAACCGACCCGCCGTCTAAATGAAACCGTTTTTACCCGAACCGTTTCAAACCGAAACCGTTTCAAACTGAGGTCAAACCGAACTGCCAGACCGAAGTCCCACCCCTAGTAATACCTTTTGGTTTCTTTTGGGTAGCCCACAAAGTAAACCTTGTCAAATTTGGGATGAAGTTTGTCAGAAATCAATTTCTTGACATATGCTTCGCATCGCCATATCTTTAGAAAAGATAACCTAGAAGGTTTCTTCGTCCATAATTCATATGGAGTCTTTTCTACAGCTTTTGATGGAGCACGGTTCAGTGTTAGTGCCGCAGTTAGAAGTGCGTGTCCCCAGAAAGAGATAGGAAGATCACTAAGACCCATTGTTGATCGTACCATGTCTAACAAGATCACTAAGACCCATTGTTGATCGTACCATGTCTAACAAGGTCTCAAGTATTCACCACCTCGATCCGATCGAAGGGCTTTGATTTTCTTGCCAAGCTGATTTTCAACTTCACTCTGAAATTCTTTGAACTTTTCAAATGATTCAGATTTATGCGACATGAGGTAGACATAGCCATATCTACTATAGTCGTTTGTGAAAGTGATGAAATATCGATG